AAGGTAGCTAAATGTACGCATATATAAAAGTCCCATATACTGCCTTAGATGGAAAATCATGAACATTACAAAAATCAAGACCGACCTATCGGTGTACAAGTGGGGCTCAGAACATGCAGACAAACCTCAGTTTCACTCCACCTGATGCATGATGGATGTCTGCGATTACACCATTTTCTTTCCTCCCATTTTCTTGCACATTTTATCTGAAAACTTTTGTTCCTCAAAGCAAGCTTGAGAAAACCCTTTCAGCTTTGTCACGGTTGGCAAACTGAGTGCAACTAAGCAACTTCAGGTGAAGAAAATTAGTCCTAATCAACTGAAGACTAAACTGCAGACAAAAAATTTATTCTGTGGTTAAAATTGAAGTGAAAACCTACACTTTCTACTTTAATACTAACCTAAACAGTTGCTAACCTATTGAGCAAACAGCATTTTCACTTTACTTGATGCACAAATGACACAATCACAGATGTGAACTGCACATTTTTATTTCAGGCACAAGAGGGAGCAATTTTGGCCTAAACGCCTTCTCGGCAGAACCAGTGTTCAAGTGATCACTCACAGTATTTTTCCACAGACAAACGCACAGATTAACACGCATACACCCCAAAACCCCAACAAGGCCACTAATTCCCTTTTTAAAGTGCTCAACATGTGAAGTATTACCAGAAAAAAAATAATCCTCCATTCTTGCAAAGCGATGCATGTGTTGTTCAGGGGCCCGCCTGCCCGCCCCCCCCCAAAAAAAACAGAAAAGGCACCATTTTGCAAGCTTTTATGTCACTGGAAAATCTCTCCATCTCATCTAAAATGAGCAGATGAGCATACAAGGCCATTAAACGAACACCAGAAGATGCTTCTGAATGTAAGGATTTCAATTTAGTGCAAACAAATGCAGCTACTTTGGGTTACAAGTATGTGCATCCAAATACACGGTAAATACTCTCAAATCTGAAAAGATAAAGAAAATATTTTAAATTTACTGAATAGTAATAATAATAAATAGCAATAATAAATTTAAAAAAAACAACAGGAAAACCCTTGTAAACTTTCACCAGCAAACATCTTACATTAGCTTTAACACTGACTATGTACTATCGAGCATGATCTTTCAAACATGCAATTGCACCATGCGTAACCGAAAGCGCAATAAAGTGCAGAGTAACTTTCAAAAAAACATCCAAAATGCCCCTTTCTCCCTTTTTGTGCCCATTTCGAGATAGATGTTCAGTCCTGGTACAGCAGGAAACCAGAGAAGGTGCTGTACTTCCAGCTGCTGCCATAGATGGCGCCACGGTGCAGTCGCAGCCACACTTGGTCGCCCTGGAACAGCTGGAGGACAGCGTGATTGCTGGCAGTCTCATGGTCCGGAGCACCGTCGTTGGCGTACCCGGACACCATCACCTCTTCATTGCGCATGAGGTTGATGTACAGGGGTACGCTGATGGCCAGCTTCAGGATGTGGAAGATGAAGACGTAAGCACCGGCAGCGGGACAGGTGAAGCGTCCGGTGGTCGTGTCGAACATGTCACCGAGGTTGGTGTGCAGCAGGTCAAAAGCGATTGGTTGGTCCATTGTGCCAGGGGCGAAGTTTGCCGTGCGGGCGGCAGAGAAGGCCACGCGGAGTCGGGTGAGTGGGTACACGTGTACTGGCATCAGAGTGTGCGGGCCCTGGGGCGTGATGGGCACTTCCATTGGCGGGATGGAGAGTGTGTCACTGATTCCTGAGTCGAGCAGAAACGCACCCTCCCGGTCCGGGCTGCTCACCTGAGAGGAGTCACTCCAACCGGCTGAAGAGGAGAGGAGATACAAAGACAAACCACAGAGTTAAGGATGTTTAATCAGGCTCCTGTGTAGATTTAGTCATTTCACTTTAATGGCAAGGAATAGGTTATTTTCATTGCCATTAAAGTGAAATAACTGAACACAAACATGGAAGTCCGAGAAAAATACGAATTTTAGAAGAAAATTTCACATGGCACTTAGAGGCTTTTGCATCAGAACTCTACATTTATTTAAAAAGTATTAGTAATTAATATAGTTCTATAAAATATCAATGCATGTATGTGTATGATCAATGGCTCATACCACTGCTCCTTTGAGTTGCTGTGCCTCCACCTCGTTTGAAGCTCTGCTGATACCCGTTCTCCTGTTAGCAAAATAAGTAAATAAAAAAACCTACTGACTAGATTTTCATTAAAAGTATAGATTAATGACAACACTAACCCAATATAATATTACATTTTACTATTATTATACAACTGAAAATGAATATAAAAAGTATTTATATAAAATTACACAGTAAACCAGATCTGCATAAAAAGAACAGAACTGACCGGCTTTTCATTTAAAGAGTAGATTCATAACATAACAAAACACAAATAAATTAGTTTGTTTTTTTTAACACATTGAAATGATTATAAAAATATGACATTAATCAGTAAAGTAAGCCAATAAATTGTGTAAAACTTACGCTGGACACATAAAGGGCAGATGCAGGGTCTCTGTGTGTGGTATGGGTCTGGGATATAAAGCCCCCTCCTGGAGAACGCACATTTACTCTGTAGGCATCATAACCACCTGTTAATCAGCCAAAAAACACAGTTTTATACTGCTTATCCATGTCTTCTCTAGACTGCAAAAATGTAAAGCTCAAATATCACAGATTAATAAAGTTTGTGCAAGAATGACAGTACACAATGCACTGGGTCTGTTATAGACGACAAGAAATACACCTCTATAATGTGATCTGCACACTGAAATGTAAAGGTGAAAGATTAACAGAATGTGAAGGATACAGAGGAAGAGGAAGGTACCTCTGTAGCCACCAGGTGATCTGTATGAGTGACCCAAACCCCTGCCTGCACGCGTCATACCTCTCGTTGTACCGCGGGGGTAGCAGAACCGACCCAGACGAGACTGTGGTTGAAAGCCAGAGAACACGTGACCACCTGCACTGACAGGACACTCCAGCTGGTACTGGCCTTCTGCAAGGACACATAAGAATAAGACAGAATATGCATATTGGAGGGGGGGTCAAGCTCGGACTACATCTGGGGATCATTTTGGGGAACATGCAAATAATTTTATACACAATAGAAAGTATGTGCGCGCGCATGTTTTACCAATCTGTAGGTCATCTTCAGGTAGGTTGAGTTCAGGTGGTGTCTGGGTGCTGGCGGTGGAGTAACTCAGGGTTTTGGCCGATGTGTAACTCAGATGCATGGACTCTGAGAATCCACTCTCATCTGACTTTATCCCTGAGCTCTCACTGATGGGCAAAGATGCCACATTAAACACCTGATGAAAAGAGGGAAGCTGGAGCTTAAAGCTGAACCAGTTAAGCTTCAGATAATATGCTTTGCATTATTTAAATAAGTGGAACTGATGTTAGGGACTTTGGATGCATGAGGACAAACATTATGCTCACTGAGTGAATGTTGTGGAAGGTGTTTTCTGCACTGATAGATCTGTGACTGGGTGGAGTGGAAAATGTCGGGGCAGATACAGTGGTTGATACTCCATTGCATAACGTCTGCTTTCCTGCCTGACATACACAAACAAAGTCAAAGTCAATCCCAAATGCATGGGATTAGTGGCACCACATGTCATCTCCAGTCATTTAAAATTCCACTCATAAAAGCCCATCGCCAAAACATCCTAGATCAAGATTATAAACACTTTTAAACAAATGCTGGCCAATATAGATAATTATTTATATATTGAGTTAAAAGATGAAGCATAGAAATGAGCATATTAAATTATTGAATACACCAAAAACTACACCAGAAAAGGAAATCAAGTGCATAAAATTCAAACCTTACCTGTAGTCTTTAACAACCATTGCAGTGACATCACACATAAAAGTTCATGGCTGACATTAATGGGAAACTAATACTGCCATATTTCTTCATTTAAGTTGAACACGGTGAAAACAGAGTCAAGATGTGAGGGGTTCGACTATGCCGGTCACTCAGCGTTACTGATATTCTAGAGCGTGCTGAAAGAGCTGAACCTGCGCTACAAATCCTGCTGGATACAGGTGTGGAGGAATGCGGAATGAGGAATTATCTGGTAAAGTGAGATTGCTAGGTATTTTACAATTAAAAAAGTGTTTGTGAATTTTGAGCTAGTGAGTATTTATTTTTAAGAGTAGTCCTCATTTAACAAAAATTCAAACCTCCATGTATGAAAAAAAAAAAAAAAAGCAGAGCGCATGAGACATTCTAGTTTATTTGTCCATCTATATACCTGTACAGTGCTCTGGTTTTCTAATGGGACTGAGATGGAGGATCCCCTGCGGTACAGTGGAGGAGAGGTGAAGCCCTCACCGTGCTTCTACAAACACAACGGTTACCATTACAGCATATTTAAAATTACAAGCGTATGTGAAAGCATACATTTAACAACTGTACCATCAAAAATAGAAAAATAAATAAATAAAATAAAAACTTACATGTGGCTTCTCTTCATGATGTAGATCAAGGTCAGAGCCGTTTATAGAGCGGTCTCCATTTAACAGACAACCTTTAGCCTCTCCAGACAGCAGGATTTGTAGTGGAGTGCTCTACCATTAGAAAATAAATATCACATTAGGCAACTACAGGGAAGAGTGACCACATTTGTTATACACAAAATAAGCTCTCATCAAGTCAAATATACTCACCCGCTGGGATTGAGGCAGATTATCTGATGGGCTTTTTGTTAATTCCCTCTGTGCTAAATGTTAAAAGAAACAGACTTTCAGTATCAGTTTAAAGGAATGTACTAACCCTCAGGCCATCGAAAGTGTAGATTCCTCATGGGAACAAATTTTGGAAAAAACTAATCATACCATCACTTGCTCTCTCTGCAGTGAATGGGTGAGAGTGAATTAGAATGAGAGTCACTTCACAAGACTTTAATTGATAAACTGGAGTTATGTGGATTACTTGTGCATTATTGTGATGTTTTTTTATCAGGTGTTTGAATTCATTCTGACGGCACCCATTCACTGCAGAGGATCCATTGGAGAGCAATTGAGGTTATGGAAAACTTATTCTGATGAAGAAACAAACTCATCTACATCTTGGATGGCCTAAGGGTGAGTATTTTCAGCAAATTTTCAGTTTTTTGATAAGCTATTTCTTTAACCCCATCCTACACTTTGTGTGACTGATTTAACATGGAGCAATCATGTACCAAGAGGAGTAGAGGAGCCTGGAGAAGGACGGCGTCTCTTTGTTTGACTGTTTACAGGGGAAGTTTCTCCATCCAGAAGAGACTCCTGCAAACAGAAAAATCAAGGAAAGGTCCGTGAACACTTTCTGAAATTTCTCAGATTCAACAAAAATCGGAAAATTAAACCATATTGCAGCAGTTTTGTTGTATTGTCGCAATTTGTGCATTTATTTCTTTTTAAATGCATGCCTGCATGAAGCTGAAGGATCCTGAGATCTGGTCCATCAGAGACTCCAGCTGCTGTTTGCGCTGAGCAGGGTCTTTCGGTAATGGAGAGCTGAAGACTTCCACTGCGACAGGCATCTGAAAGTATAGAGCATAAAAATAACACTTTAACTGCTTTAAAATACTTTGTTTATGATGAACGTAAATAACTCACCGGTTTAGAGTCCTGCTCCTCCTTGCTCTTTCTTTGACGTTTCTAGAAAAGACACAACATACATGTGAAGAAACTGACCTTTTTACATATCAAATGGTTGCCAACATGCAAGTTGTTTAAGCAGCAACATGTTTAAGGGGTTTTAAAACTAGTGTCCTGGGGGCCACAAGAGGGCGCTAGGAATATTTGTAAAAAAAAAAGTAAATACAATTAAAAAAATTATAATACACAAATACAAGAAATTAAATGTGCAATTTTTATATTAGAAAATTATATATTGTATTATATAATTCTAATATTCGGTAGGGGAAAAAAGTTGGTTGGATAAAGTTGTTTTCCAGTTTTTTTTATAAAATTTGTCTGCATTTCCATTTTTATTCACCCAAGATAAATGAAAACATAACTGCCTTTATTTTAACAAAGGGCATCATCAAATTTGGGGGTCCTTGGAATAAGGAATGAATTCAAATTCATAATAAAAAATAAATTATATAAAATTTTACACATTAAATGTATTAGTCATTTTATAAACATTTTGGGAATAACATTGGGAAATCATTTCCAATTCAGGTCAAGTGCCATTTCAATATAGAAGTTAGTTGTTTCACCTCCTTGGGGTCAACGGTGGGTCTCTTTACGATGTCTGCAGTCTTAGGAATCAATCCCGCTGCCCCTTTCCATGGCTTCTGTATGGGGGACTGAGAGGATGCAGGAGGATCAGAAAACTCCATTTCCCATGAGTCTGGGGGCTCCCTTTCCTTCATCGCCAAAAATTCTTCCTTCCAACTACGGGGCGATGCCTTCTCATCCTGTCTGCGCTCAGTGACGTCTGTTACAGGTAGGTATCGTCTGTTAAGAAACTGGCATCATTCAGAAGTTACTGATTTGCGCGTGTTTCTCCAAAACGCAGTTTATAGCGTTGAAGACTTGATAACTTAAGATCATGGTGTTTGATACGTCACTTGTTTTTACCTCTTTGGAAGGCACTTCTTTTGAGCTCAGCTTCACCAGCGCTAAAACTCAGAAATATAAAATGACATGCATTCAAGTAATTTCATGGCTGTTTAGACACACATTCGAAGTTAAAATTAAATGAAATCTCACTGGAGAGGCCACAAGGCCTTGGAGGGTCCGCCTTTAGGGTCTCAGTCTTCTCTTGACTGTCAACTTTAGGAAGTGGTACGTGATCAAAAAAGCCACAATCCACTAGCCGAAGTAGCTTCTCCTTCATGTGCTTATCTGTTGAAAAATGACCATCATATAAAAATCTTTTTTTGTCTTTGTACCCTCAACGATCCCATCAACACAGATATAGAAGTGGGTTCCTTTTGTGTTCCAAAAGGAACTAAATGTTTCTAGGGTATATACATATTATAATGAAAACAGAAAAAAAGTTGGTAGACCTAGACACCAAAAACACAAATATTTAATAACGGACTATCACACAGGTGATGTTTGAGCGTGCAGGCTCTTCATTAGACTAGGGCATAGACACAAAACATACATTTTTATTTATTTCTGTAATGTTTGCCCTTGAATAACAAAAACAACAATAATAATAATGGCGGCATATTTTATTGTGCATGTAAGCATTTATACACTTGTATTATCATTCTTAACACACCTAAAATTAAAGGGCATACATTACACAAAATATTTATATTTACATGCATCATCATCATTAACACATCAAAGGACAGATATTGCATTTATTTTGTGTAATGTACTTGTGCATATTGTATTTGTGTAACGCATTTATACATTTACATTGGCGGCATATTTTATTCTGCATGTAAGCATTTATACACTTGTATTATCATTCTTAATACAACTAAAATAAAACGGCACACATTACACAATAAATACATTTATATTTACATTTGATTATTATTATTATTAACAATAACTAAAGGACATATTGCATTTCTTTTGTGTAATGTATTTATATATTTACATGTATTAATTATCCTCAATAATAATAATAATAAATTAAATGCAAGAACATGCATTTATTTTGTGTAAAGTACTTATATATTTACATGCATTTGTTTTCTATAAATGCATTACAAATATTATTACCAAATTGGATCACCTCCTCGTACTTCCCCACAGCTTCCTACAGCATTAGCACACATCAGTAATATTAAAACAAGCTCCATTTCCCAAGATGCGACACACAAAATCAAAAGAGTGATTACCAGTTGGTCCTGATTAAGTTTTTCCCCCTTCTTCAGCCTCTCACTGTAGCTTTCCAGTTTCAGCTGCAAGAAGAAAAAAGTAGCTTTGTTTTGCAAACATGGACAGGACTGAAGCACATTAGGTGCTGTATGAGTAAAGCAAAACAACCCACTCCATCTGAATACTGTTCATGCTATTTCTGCCTGAACAACAGAATAAAGGCACCTTCTTTTTCTCAATGTTACGGATCTTGTGCTTGAGGCAGATGAGGCCGTCCTCAATGTATTTCTCATAGTCGTAGTTGGTGGTCGTGGTGGGGCTAAGGGTGAACTGGAGGGCGGTAAGCACTCGAGGGGACTCGGATTTAGGGCTGCCCTGGCCATCATCCTTCTCCACGGTCAACTCTGACGGAGTCAACGTCTCTATAGTCCGAGATGGTGACAGCTGAACCATGATCTTAGTCGCTCTGAAGCAGAGGGAAATGAACAGAAAGGTCACACTATTTATTATGGAAATAAAAAGACAGACGTTTATAACCATACTCCGAATGGAAAACTATTATGTATTGTGGATTAACACACAGTATATACACTTTATATTGCCTAATTTATAAAAACAACACCAAAAAAAAAAGTCAATGAAGGTGGTCATGAACTTTACACTGACACTTATTGGTGTGGATGCAGCATCACGCAATCTTAAAACTACTATGATAGATACTATTACAAGTTTTTAATAATAGTTACATTTCGCTTTTTTTTACATTTTCAGCCATTTTGTTTTGTGCTTGTCATTTTAATTATGTTAAGTCAGATTTTATTGACTTTATATCAGTACATCAAGTTCAACGAAGTAAAAATGACAGACGTTTAATATGCGTTTCATTTTTTATTTATTTTTTAATCGGTTAACATTTGAATTAATGTTTTTATGGTTTTAATTAATATAGGCCTAACTCTTCACACACACACACAAAAACTATCCTTTTGAGGTCATATAGGTTTGACAATGTCTGTAAATAAATGTCAGGATTCAATTTTTTGAACCCTTAATATAGTTTTCAATGGCTGACTCTTAACTTTTATAAAGAATATCTCTTTGGATTTGAGACTTTTGCCTTTGCAAATTTACAGATCTTGTTTATGCACCAAGAGCTTGTAACACTCCAAAGAGAAAGGAAAAATTGAGATCGCATCATATGACCCCTTTAAATGTTAAAAACTGTGTATTTACAATGTTAAAGTGGCTGACAACAACAAATATTCTTATTAGGAATAAAACTGCCTCGTTTTTTAACTGTGCAGAGCTGTATCTGAATAGTTAGGCCTACTACGCGACTGTATTTTAATGTTGGTCATTATGGTGGTACTTGGAGAGCCAAATATTTTCTGAGGTGGTACTTGGCATAAAAAGTTTGAGAACCACTGATTTAGATAAACTACAATAGGTAGTAATACAGTGGGTCCAAACATTATTACATAATTATATTCAATAATTACATTATTTTTCATATCATATGAACTGCATTAGCTTTCATTTGTAATCATTAGAATCTTACTAAATTGAAAGTAGTGCCTACTACCATGTAATATTATGTAGCTCATTATTATTAATACTATTGCATCTGTTAAAATAAACATTTGTGCATGTATGAAATTGTTGAAATATGTGTTATTCTGAGGATGTGAGCTTCCCCAGCTGATTCTCAGTTCATCCAAAGGTTTCCTCCTCATCTACTTTAACATCTTAGGGAGCTGCAGTTCACTTGTTCACTAAGGGTGTTTCTGTGTAAGGCCGCTTTGGAACAATGTGTATAGAAAACAGAATTGAAAAGACTTCAGTGTGATCAATAAGGGGCTGTGTGAGTATGCATGTGAGCAGCCTGGTTGGAGCTTGGAGAATTTGACAGAGCTTACATGATTCCAGTTCTTTTTGGAGTCGACAGGAAGCTTCTTCCAGCGTTTCACCAGCAGAACACAAGCATTGCAGATTTCACCAGAGCGAGTCTCACCTAAACTGTAGAAGTATCCCATTGTAATAAGATAATGCATATGGAAATCATTGAAGTTCTCACATTACAAACAAACAACATTATTTCCTCCACATTACTCTAAAAGAAAAAGGACGCTTGACTAGAGATACATTATACGAATCCTGTACTCACTGTAATTAAACCAGGCTGATGTTAATATCATGTTATTACAGAGGAACCACAAGCACATACTAGATACCCAACTCACCCAAAGCAGCTCTGGAAGTCTCTCTCATAGCGTTTGCTGTCAGTGAAACGAGAGCTGGAGGATTTTGCCCTGCAGATGCAGCATCCATCAAGGCTGCGGTACATCTTCGGCTTATGAAAGCCAAACATCTGTAACACATGGATAAGACAGAAGTAAAACAACTTTCTATTTGGTGCTTCTGCTGATGCAATGATTTTACACAAGCTTTTAAACACAGCTGGAATTTCATTTGCAAAAAGTACCACAGCACCATAGTTACAAACAACTAAAGTTACTGGTATACATGCATAATAGTTCGTTTTATTATCAAAGTTGAAAACCATTTTTACCGTGATTTGTTTTTTCAGGATTCTTTTGTGAATGCATAAATGTTACTTTTGATCAATTGAATGTGTCCTTATTGAATATATGCATTACTTTTTTGTCTTACCCCAGAATTTTGAATGGTAGTGTATCACGGTTTCCACCAAAATATTAAGCAGCAAATATTACGCTGTTTTCAATAATGATAATCATAAGAAATGTTTCCTTAAGCAACAAATCAGCATATCATTTCATTCAGCATATCATAATATAAGTGTAATAGAAATCTATTTCGGCTTCAGATGAATCAATTCTGTTATCAAACACTTTATAAGCGATCATCGGCAAAGGATGCGAGCGCCCTAAAATGTGATGCGCTGTATGGGCAGCAGCCTCCTCAAGTGTCCTACACACTAAACTTATCGCACGCTTTTATACTCGAGCAAAAATGTGAAACAATTTCAGCAAGCTTCCAAAGTGATCTTACTGCTACATTTCTAATGAATGCGGCAGCTTTCAGCCGGGCATCGCACTGTCACACAACTTCTTAAGGGGGCCTTTCGAAAGGCGAATATAACACCTTCTGCGCACACATAAACTGTTAAGTTACCCTTTTTTTAAAAAAAAAAGCCCTTTTTTCTTACCTCGACTTGAAGCAGTTAAAGTCAAATCACACAGCGAAATCCAAGAGTTACAGGCGTTACTCATTTAACAATGCGCCACTCGACTCGTTACTGTCTCACTTTCTGTCTGAATATAGTAAAATGTTTACGCATGCGCCGAGCTCCATCCACCATTTTCTGAATTTCTTCAATCAACCTCATTTGCATACGCGGCTGACGTTTGACTGCGTCTGCATTCTGTTGCCCATAAAAGGAAGAGAAAATTACGCGGGAAACGTGGGCGGGTCCGGTTGCTAGGGCAGCAGCCAGTGAGCTGCGATCCCGGTGGGAGGAGTTACGCTCTACTACTACGAGAACAGCAGATGTCTGAACAAACGCAGCACGTCCTTCTCGCTCCGCGGCCGCAGCCATGAGCACATGTCGCCAGCTCGGTCCTTCATCGCGGACATAGTTCGAGAGAGCTGTTTTTGACGGCTCTGCAGAATAAATTAAATAGGCTGAAAGAGCTAAACGACATTAGACCTTATAAATGTAACGTTTTAAACCCAAATGTATATAGGTTTCGGGACAAAAACGTTTAATTCCCTCAAACAATCATATTTACAGGGGAAACTGGGAAGTGTACATTTAGTTTATAGCTCCGTGATTTTCCCCCCTCAAACTTTGCTATATTACTATATTTGTTTGCTAATTAGTTTAGGAAATGAGGCTACATGTGTACTTAAGCTGTGTGAATTATTGTCAAATTAGCTGTTAGTGCTTTTGGATACATAGAAAACATGGACACTTAAAAATTAGTGCATGAATTTATTGTTAACTTTTATTTCAACTTCACATTTAAGCAAATCTTTTTGTCTGAAATCACTACCCCGAATTTCATTTTATAGATAGGCTACTATTTGTTATAATTACATATTTGGTAAAATGGTAGAGATAGTAACACTAGCCGATAGGTAACAGTGAATTAAATGCACCGTAAACTGTCATTTGACATTCATTTGGAATCACAATTCAAATTAGGACGTAATTTCACTTTCTTACCTTTTTTTGTAAATGCTTTATATTTGTACACAGCTACTGTCATATTAGGAGCTTGGTGCTCATCCACTCTCAAGGGAAAAAAAGGTACAAAATCTGTCACTGGGGTAGTACATTTTCAAAAGGTACTAATATGTGCAATTTAGGTACTAATAAGTAGACTAGGTCAAATGTAGCCTACTTTTAAGGATTTTAAGGTAGTAATATGCACCCTTTATAGCTAAACAAGGTACAAAATTGTACTTTTTAAAAAAGGTACAGCCCCAGTGACAGATTTTGTACCTTTTTTATGAATGAATGAACAAGCTAATTTGTAACTGGTTAAACTTTCATGTTGCAACACTCCCCAGTCTCCCCTAACATGAAATCTCAGGTTTCCACTATAGAAAAAAACACTAATGAGACAGTGCAGAATTTGCTTCACAGATGCCATCAGCATGTCCCTAAACTAAAAATAATGTTCCATGAAGAATGACTCTTCATAGAGGAATGTTCTCTAGGACCTGAGCACTGTCCTGGAATACCATGCATGCCTACCGTGTGTTGAAATAATGTCCCGTCTGCACACACCGTTCACAAGAAGTTCAGAGAGGACACAAATCTAGACGAACGGAGCCATTTTAATGAGTTGCTTCACAAATATAAACATGATGGAGGAACCCACTCATTTTTAGACGGGGAGCTTTTTATAATATGATCGATGTTTAGAAGCTTTCACACAGGGGAAAAAAACAGACGGAATGAGGCAAGATCTAGAAGAGGAACTAATTCATTTACAGCAACAGTACTTCTCCAAGATCTAAAATATGTGGCATGCATCAGCACCGCAAAGGTGGTTCTTGATGCCTTGACCCTAGCCTCAGTCCATTCCTTGTGAAGTTCACTCAAATTCTTGTGCATTTGGTTGGTTGTGCATCTTTTTCTTCCACACTTTTTCCTTCCACTCAACTTTCTGTTAACATGCTTGGATACAGCACTCTGTGAACAGCCAGCTTCTTTGGCAATGAATGTTTGTGGCTTACCCTCCTTGTGAAGGGGGTCAATGATTGTCTTCTGGACAACTGTCAGATCAGCAGTCTTCCCCATGATTGTGTAGCCTAGTGAACCAAACTGAGAGACCATTTTGAAGGCTCAGGAAACCTTTGCAGGTGTTTTGAGTTGATTAGCATGTCACCATATTCTAATTTGTTGAGATAGTGAATTGGTGGGTTTTTGTTAAATGTGAGCCAAAATCATCACAATTAAAAGAACCAAAGACTTAAACTACTTCAGTCTGTGTGCATTGAATTTATTTAATCCACGAGTTTCACAATTTGAGTTGAATTACTGAAATAAATGAACTTTTCCACGACATTCTAATTTATTGAGATGCACCTGTATTATATTGCATTATATTGTATTATATAAGCAACATATTTTATATATTTTAAGCACCATAACAATATAATAGAAATAACTGTTTTGTATCACATACAAAATGATACTAAATGCTTAAAATGTCTCCATTTTAAAGTACTGTTGGAGGACAAAAGTGTTATTAATTGTTATAAATAGTTTACTTCAAACATTAAAATATTTTATTTACAAATGTCTTTAATGAGGATAAAGCCCTATATAATGAGACCTTAAAATTATGAAGTTATATAAAGTTATTTTACCCCCTCCAGTACATAAATATATATAAATATAAATTGCTAAAAAGTGATAATAAAGACTTGTATTGTTAGGAAACATTTCTATTTTATATAAATGCTGCTCTTTTTAACTTTTTATTCATCAAAGGATCCTAAAAAAATGTATGATAGGTTCCAAAAAAATATTAAGCAGCACAACTGTTTCCAACACTGACGATAAATCAAAATATTAGAATGATTTCTAAAGGGTCATGTGACACTGAGGACTGTGATGAAAATTCTGCTTTGCATCACAAAAAATGTATTATATTAAAATAGAAAACTGTTATTTTAATTTGCAATATTTCACAATATTACTGTTTTTCAGCATTTTTGATCACATAAATGCAGCCTTGATGAGCATAAGCAACTCATCAAAAAATCTTACTGATCCCAAAGTTAAAAAAAAAAATTCATAGACTGTAAGTTTTAAGCTTTAAACTACAGATATGAACACAAACATGTTAAATTAACTAGATCTATATGAGTTTTTCTTTTTCTCTTCTACTGTCACAGGGAAACATTTAATAAGCTAAGCTTACCATAGAAGTCCCACACAAAAACATTTTTCTGAAAGATTCGAGCCGAGCGGAATCCATGATGGAAGAACTGCTCCAGTGCCCACACAAGACCACCTTCTCCACACAGCAGGACTGTAAGACTGCCCCTCTAAAAGCACAGACAAACCTTTAGATTAAAAAAGATACAAGGACAACAAAAATGATAATAATCATGCGTGGGCATATCATACCTCTTTTTCTGGTTTGTGGAAATGCTTTATAATACTGTTGACTGCTTCACCAATGGATTCCTGTATCTGTACAGTTGTTGGTTCTGTAGAGAGAACAATTGCACAAATTTAAAACAAATATTAAAAAGATTTTACACCAAAAGAAATGAATATTTATTGACATTAATTATCATTAAAATAGTTTTGAATGTACATTCACAATAGAAGACAATCATACCCAGTAGCCTAATAAAAGCTGATTTATATACAAGGAGAGTACTATGTACTTCATTTCCGTAAATTCCATCATCAGACACTTAAACTTATAGAGCACTACAAATAGAGCATTTCTACAATGTCACTGATAAACAATGTTATTTGTGCAATGCCACATTTTAACCACTAGGTGTCAGTGTAAGTCCAAGATGACCGCCAGCACAACAAATCAAATTACTGAGTACCTTTGAAATTTAAGCTGAACTTACTGTTTCCACGTCCTGTAAGTGATGTGATGCTGATTCGTCGGATCTGGGAAGGTGATCGCTGAAGGGGCGGAGTCTTAGACCCTCTTCCTCCATCATCATCGTTGCACGGAACTACAAATTCACCAATCAGAACCCGCTCAAGACTCCCATCATCCACACCCTTTCCCAGCCACCTGCCACATGGGAACCTGGAAAGGATAACAAGTAAATAACAAGAAAACCATAAAAGGAGCAGGAAGAATGACAAGAGACTAAAGTAAGTCGTACTTGTACGTGTGGCCGGTGATCTCATTGCGGACCATGACGCAATCCACCAGCCACTTGGCAAGCAAGCCAGAATTATCATGACCCAGCTGCACTGTTGTCAACTTCCCGAGGTTCTGACACTGTAAGATACACATACAGAACAGATAAAGGCAACCATGTCAGAGGCTGTCTGAGAATAACTGAACAACCCATGTGAACTCACGTGAACGTGTACAATGCACTATTATGGTCGGTTTAGACCATAGTAAAGCCACTGCTCTAAAAACATTCAGAATTTGACTAAATGCAAGTGTACAATGTCCAAAATGAACACTCTGTAAGCTCCAAATGAGAGTTAAAAACTAGCTAAATACAAAGTAAATGTACAAAATTTGGGATGCAAAAATCACAAGATTTAAAGCTAAACCAACAACCCAAAGGAGAAGAAGAGGAGATCTCTCTATGTAGAGAAGTAGAAAAATGGAGAGAGAGGGAGGAATAAAATGGAGGGATGTGCACCTAACCTTGAATGCGATGGAGATGTGCGTGTGAGGCCTAAAGGCAGACTGCGAGAGGACACAGAATGAGTTAGAACATGATGGGTGATTTGACAGCAAAACAAATGGCAGTGATTGGTTGTATGAGGTGGGGTGTAAGAATAATATCTCCTTCCTCAAAGTAATAGATTCGTGGAAGTGCATAAATAAATAGGTTTTGATCACTAATGCATGAATCACCATTTCAGTTTGGGGAAAAAATAAATAATCTGGACATCAAGAGAATCATATTATTATTATTATCTTACTGCAAAATTTAAATAAAAATGATTTAAATTGTAAACAATTTATACATTATGGTAGTATTTGTTCTATTGCCTTTTAAGTTTTCCTTTTTAAATTTGTATTGCCAATTGAAATAAAAGTCACAGTACGTTGTATTTATTCCATTAAGCACAATAAAGAAAAAAATAATGTTTGGATGAAAATTTGAGAAAAAAATACTACTAAAATATTACTAAAAAGGCTCTAAATTTCTCTTTAAAGTGAAATGTGACATTGTTATCATGAGATTTATATATTTATATTTTTTTGTTCAGCTATATTTCTGTCATTTCCATAAATAGTTTCGATCTAACAGATGTTTCGAAAGACCTGCAAGCACACTCAATTCTGCGGATGGCAGGATGGATGATTGTCTCAGTCCCACAGGAAACCAAACTGTGACACTAAAAATAAACTAATGTATCAGGTTCAAGGCAGAACAGCTGGAGCGCGATGTCACAGCACTCACATCAAACGTCATTTCCAGAACGTTCTTCGTGATCTGCAGGATGCCGGAGTCGCCCAGCTCGCCGGACACACACAGCCAGGGGTTGGACGTGGTCATTGTGTTACTAAGCTTCTTGATGGGGATGATAACGGCCCTGTATGGAATCACTTAGGATGCAAAAAAAACAAAAAACTAATTGCAAATAAAAGACAGAAAAATACATTGGTAATGAGTTAAAAATGTATTCTAAGTTGCAATGCAACATCCTGTTTTGCAGCATAAATATGAATTTGTCATGCCTTGGTCAGTCAATCAATCCGTCACGCAGCATCAAATCAATATCAAGTGCCGGATATGCTGGATGAATACAGAAGCTGTTCCCTGCTGTTTTGTATGAGTGTTTGCATCAAATATATCACCAAATACTCAAGATTTGGAGGAACAAATGTAAAAAATGTAATATACATCAACTGACTATGTAGATACAGTCCTGATTTGCATATCTGTACATCTGTGTGTGTCTCTCTTTCTGTAGGACGTACTTATAGTGGTGAAGACGCTGGTAAAGCAGAAGTAGTCCACGGCATTCAGGCTCAGGAGATGAAAGAGAAACTGCTCTTTTTCCTCTTCGCAGCGCAAGAAGGCGTAACGCTTGTACAGCTTCCTGTGGGAACATCGCATACTTAATAACAGGTGCACTTACTTGAAACGGGTCAGCATGCGTGTGCTTGTTTGTGTCACTCACAAATTCTTGTGATGAGCATGATTTTTGGTGTGTATGTGAATGTGGGAGTCTGAAAGCCTGCAGGTGTGTGTGTGTGTGTGTGTGTGTGTGTGTGTGTGTGTGTGTGTGTGTGTGAGTGTGTGTGTGAGAGAGAGAGTGTAGATGGGAGTGTGGATGTGTGTTTAGTATTGCACATACTTGGTTAAGGCCTGGTTAGACAGCAGCTGTTTGAGATGCTGGGAAAGAAGTTTTTTCTCCAGAGACAGACGGATCCAAGCACGTGCTCGACCTACATCGGTTTTAATCTCTCCCATGCTCTGGATGTGTCTGAGAAGTCGAAAGAGAGAGGATGATGAAGAAAGACAGAAAATCAAAAGCAATAATGCAATTCACTGTATGTGGGTTGAAGAGGCTGCAAGCAATGCAAATCAATCTCTTTTTTAAAAACATCATTGTCAACTGAATTATACAACCAAAACAATGTAATACGCATTACGATATACAACAATAACTATCCTCAGGCAATAAACACACCTCATATCCTGTATGACTGATACACGTAATGCAGGAAGACCAACACTGGACTCTGGCTTCCGTTTTTCCTGGCCATTGGACACTGCGGAGCAAGAAACAAACAGTTTTAGCACTTAGAGCAGTTTCAGAAGAAAGAAAATCGCAATTTGAAATCCCTTCTCGAGGCACTGTTAGCCTGTTAGCATGCTTAGCATGTAGAAGTGTTAGGCCTGAAACATAGTCTAAACATTCTGTATACATGAACACAAACTGTTCTAACTATGCAAACTGAATGCCAAATGCAATTTAAAACTCAATTCAAGTGTGTTTTGAAATTACTATAGCAGTTATGAACATGAAAAATTAGCTTATATGTCTCTTTCAGTATTTCTGTAAGAAGCACTAAGCAATTTAAAGTTAGCTAAACATGTTTACAACTTGAACTTCCCCAAAACAATGAAAAACAAGCTTTAGGTCTAAAAAAAAAAAAAAAAAAAAAAAAAAAGGCATATTGTTTTTTGAGTACAAGTATATTTACACTTCAATATGATGCAGTAATGCTAAATGTTAGCATAACACTTGCAATCAGTATCAAGCAAGCAAAGCATGACAAGTACTTTATCAAATCCTACTTTAATCACTTTTTTAGATTTACACATGACAAATATATCACAAACAAGGTTTCGCATTTTGTTTTTACATAACTGAGTTCAGCTACCTGTGCTAGAGGCGCCAAATGACCATTTTTATTGCAAAATGAACCTCAACTAAATGCAGCCCTACAGAAACTAACACCCCTGAAAGTCGTTCTATAACTTTTGAGTAGAGTTGTTTCTCGTCTTACGAACTCATATATATTTTACCTGGAGACTCTAACAGCTGTTCATTTTTCTCTTCTCTCGTCTGGTAGTGCAATAAATGAGACCACAGCGCAGACTTTCCCTATAAACCAAGATAACGGCACACAGTGATTCCCAGCATTAGCTTGTATATGTTATAATATGAAACGCATTTCCATTAGTGTGTCTCACCTGTTTGACCTGTAGGCCGTGGCTCCATATTCTCTCCAGCAGGTCACACAGACTAGCTATGAGTGTGTTCTCCTCCAGGCCGGTGATGTTCGCCTCTCCATGTCCCAGTTCAACAGCCTCTCTGCCCATTTTCTCCACCAACATACGCTTGGTCTGAACATCCATTGATAAACAACATACCAGACATTTCAATCTTGATTGAGTCTAAGGTCTTTAATGCAGCAGACAAGTGGGTCAGACTAGTAATTATGCTTGTACTCAGAACCCGGTTCCCACACTTCGTGCCCAATGCATTTCTATGGCTTTCACATGACCTGTCCAGCGGTTCATGATTACTAGATAAGGATATTAAAATCATTACACAGAGATTGCTGGAGCAGATTTCCATTTGTATTGTACGTTAAGCATCAAGCTTTTAAATTAATAAATGCATGTGATTATACTACTTAGTTTACAACTGTCTCCAGTCAGACTCTCAACAGACTGATTGATGTTATGAATAATGACTTGATTTAAATTCTACTCTACAAAAAAATCATGTCTAGCCGATGAACTATTTTAAAGCACAGAAATAATTTAATATGAAATATAATTTCATATTGATAATGTCTGTGCTCCAAAATATTCTGCTGAGAGTCACCAGACAGACTTGCAACAGACAGATTGATGTTATTATGACAGTGGCTTGCATTAAATTCTACTCTACAAAGATTAATGTCTAGCCGATTAAATATTTTAGAGCACAGACATTTTTAATATGAAATATAATTTCATATTAATAATCATTTTCATGATTGTATTAATTTATTTGACTTTTAGGGATAACATTTTTTTATAAGTAAATACATCAATCATAATTTTCCACTAAAATTCTTGTCAATATGATCAGCCAAATAATTTTTTCCATGTCTTGGCCAATAACCAACAAATGGCCAATATTATGATTATATATAATTTTGTCATTAAAAATAAAATTAATTAATTTAGATATCACAATATTATAAAGAATAAAAAAATGCTAAAAATTGCTAAAAATTAAGAATTTAATAACAATGATATATATATTTAAATAGCCTCAATGGCAATAAGAAAATAAATAAAACTCCAATATCGGCTTATAACCAACATTCTTAATTTCCAGGTATTCCATGGCAGTGGGAACCTTGTTAAAACACACACGCACAAATGCATCCATCTGTGCATATTAAACTCATCCTGACCTTCATTTTGCATTCTTTCAGTAAACCCTCCACAAACTTCCAGTTGGTCTGAGCGATGACCGCAGGGGACAGGTCTGATAGTTTGGGTTGTCTCAGGTTCTTCCCCAGGTTACGGGCCTCCTGCATGTACTTCTACACAAAGAGATCAGGACACAGACACTTAAAAGACCAAAGTCATTTAAAAAAAAGTTTAATATACCTTGCTTTCTTTACAGAAAAACAAGATCAATTGGGCTACAAGAGGGGGTTGACTATAAAGCAGAGGATTTTATTCTTTGTTGTGGGGTTTATGATTGCTGAGTGACTGGGTCGGTAAGCGCTCACTACTCAAACTCCGGCGTGTGGGAATATCCAGGGGCTGGATTGTGTGCAGCAGAGTTCAAAGGTCACTGTGTGTCTGAGGGAAGGGGCTTTGAGGAATTCTAACATCTGGGAGGAGTTTATTAAGGGCATGTTAGGAATGTTTTAAGTCGGTCATATAATGGCAGGCCTCCACATACCAGACAGCAGGCCGAGAAGGACTTTTTAGGCGGTTTAATAGGTGGGGGTGGTGCCTTATCCCACTCCCAGAAAGCCATAGAGTTCTGCAGGAGCAAACACCCCTCCACCTGCCGTGAGGTGGTATGGCCCACACAGCATACAAACGCACACAGAAACGATGAAGAAACAATAGAAAAGGAAAGAAAAAAGCAGCATGCACATGAATGCAAGAAAAGACAAGCAAGAAGACACTTGAAAAAGAAAACGCAAGCTCAGAAGTAAAAGAAAATGCTGACAAATGAAGAAATGAGAACAGGCAAATTCACTAAACGCCCAAGAGGCCTTTGCATTAAGCATGATTCATCAGGAGCCATTTACAAATCAAATTTCATGTAAATCACTTTCAGCCCTGAAGACCATTTATGTGATTCAGACATCAAGAATCTGCGATTTATGGAGAATTACTGTTCATTATAATAACTATAAGTAACAGCTCACTGAAAAATAATGTAAAATTCTTGACACGAGTCATACTGGTCCTTGACGTGTTTATGACACAGCAACATTTAATTCCTGTACAAATCATTCTTTTGAAAATCAATCAGCCAATTTGATTTACAAAACTGGTCTGGATTATTAATTCAGAGATTCGGTTGTAATGGTTGTCTGCTATTTATCAGTAAATGACAACTTACACAGTATATGGGTTATTTTTGTTTGTTTTCTATTTTAGAATTATTGATGTATCCTAATTATTTTTTTTAATTATATTTCATTTTCATATTTAATTAAATTTTTATTTTTAGAATTTCTGTTATGTGCTTTTGTCAATGTCATTAATTTATAAATAAAAACAATATTTTTGATTTATCTTTATATTAAATTTCAGCTTTACTAATATTAGCGGCTTTTGGCAACTAACTAAAAAAATTAATGAGTTTACTTCTTTAAGCTTAATTTTCTCATCTAATATTTATGTTTTATTCAATTACTGAAAACCGTTTTTAATCGTATTAATTTTAGTTAACAATAACAATGGAAAAGAGCGACAGTTGCAGTTTTCAAAATAACTTATTTTGTGTTCCATGGAAGAAAGTAAGTCTTACAGGTTTGGAACAACATGAGGCTGAGCAAAAGACAGAATTATCATTTTTGGATAAACCACTCTTTATTTACTTTGTGATTCTGCCAACAATCAGCTGTATCTACCATCTGACAAATAAGACCCTTGGAAGGCAGCAGTATAGAAGAGATGGAGTAAGTAAAAAGACTCAAGATGGAAGGAATTACATAAAAAGTCTGTGCTAATCAAAGGCTGCACACAGAACAAGATGAGAAAGAAGAAAAAGAGAAAGGAGGAGAGAGGCTGAAGAGGAAGAAAGCTGCAGTCTTACCTCTTTGAGGTCGTTGTCCAGCACAAGATGGTCGTTCTGCTGTCTGTGACGGTCCACTCTGCGCTGAGTCGAGCATGTGCGGTTAGACCACCTGATCAAAGAGGGTTTCCATTATTAGATTATCCCACACACACATTGAAATTGAGTTTGCTTTAGTGTTTTTTGTCACAAAGTAAATGAAAAGACAGCTAAATAAATAATAATTTTTCTTTTGGTTATTGAATATTGAAGTGTGACTAAAAACAGAAGGATTGCAGCATCTGTTGTAGTTTAAAACAGAGCTTTATAACTAATATGGACTCTGAAGTGTTACATGCCCCACATTGAATAGTTAATCTCTCATAACGGTGTTGTGTGCCATGAAGAGGACTCACTTGTTGTTGGTGGGCCCTGAGGCAAGCACATCAGCCTGTAGTTTGGGGAAGAAGCCGTGCTGGTATTTTCCTTGACCAATCTTCATATCCAGCAGGTGAGGATGGATGGCTGTGTGGTCGATCTTTCTCAGCCGCTGCTCTATGGCCTGGGCTGGAGAGGAGAAACACAGCTCTTGAAAAGTGTTGAAGCTACAAATTACTTCAGAATATTCACTAATAATAAGCTGTAAGCTTGAGGCTAGACTTCCACAACACTAAAATAAAAGTATTTCTGAGCAATCTGAGTGAGTGACTTGTTTTTTCAAAATAATATAAATTCAAAAATGCCAAATATATTTTTAAAAAAAAATTTTTTTTTAAAGAATAATAAACCAAGTATAATAAATAACTGATAAATATTATAATATTATTATAATGTACTTATATAATAATAAAAGCATAAACAATAAGTATTATTGTATTAAGAATAAGAAAATATTATTTATTGTTGTTGTGTTCATTGAATTTTTTTTTATAAATTAATATAACAACAATTTTACACTTCAGCTTCAATAATGAAACATGACCAGTGTCTTAAAGAACCCCAAATAAACAATTAGAATTATAAATAATAAACCGAGTATAACTGTTATTGTATATTGCATAGTTTTTATAAATAATTTGAATTTTACACATAAACTTCAATAAAGAACTATGAGCAGTAACTTTAAGAAAAATAAAAAAAATAAAAAATAACAATGAATTAATAATAACTGTATTACTGTCTAACAATAATTATTATTATTTTATTATTTATTATTATTAAACAGCTATTGTTGTTGCTGCTGTTGTTGATTAGCCCGACAGGAAAAATAGTTGCTACAGAAGTCGTACAGTGCATTAGAATGAGAATGTTTCATTGATTTTTTTCCAGAAATTTGAATAAATTCAAACCTCATTTTCATACTAACATACTCATTTACTGCCTAGCATTTTTAATCGTGCAACTAATATAACAATCAGCGTTATAACTTCCATAGTGCATTTTGTTTTTGAAAATGTTGGGCATCTTTTATAGGGCATCTGTGGGCAGTTTGCCATTTCAGAAGCACATTTTTTAAGCCAGAACAGCAGCATCCATCTTCCAATAGTGACCTTCAGTGTGACAAGAGGTTATTGACCTAACAATGGTACTGAGGGCTTAGCGAGCAGACGCGCACGCAACAATATTCAGCGCACATACACACACAGGCTTCCCAAGATGGCACAATAGAGCACCAGGCGCCCGTTCTTTTCTTTTCAGCATTTGGCAGCCTTTCAAAAGCACTCCATTCATTTGAGGACACACTCTTCAGTTCTTTCATTCTGTGCTCCACTCCTCATTTTTCAACCACTTCTGCCGTCTCTCTTTCTCCCCCGTCTCCTCGGCCCCTCAGCCGCCCTCTTGAACTGTCACTCTCTATAATCATCTAGGCAGGCTTTTTCTACAGGCTTCATTAAAATTGAAATACACAATTTGTAGTGACAGAGCAATGACTGGGGATTCACCATCGGTTCAGAAAAAGAATGATGAAAGGTGCTCTGCTGAGGATGTGATTGCACAAAAATCAGTAAGGCATAAAATGAGAAGACATTTTCAATGCAGGAAAACACAATGATTTCCGAATCTGTTTATAGAGACAAAGAACACCCAACACAGTATAAACCACCCAACAGTAAAATCATTTCAAAGACCTCAAAATTGAAGCAAGATGAAATAGGACTGCACTCTTTTTTTCTTGTGTGATGTGACATACATACACAACCAGTTTGGGGATTTTATTTTTTAAAGAAATTAATAAATTTTTGGTTTTAGCAAGGATGCATTAAATGGACCAAAAGTGACAGAAAGGATATTTATTATCTTACAAAAGACTTCCGTTTCCCAAAAATGCTGTTCTTTTTTCTGTTTATAATAAGTAATATTTCTATTGATAATTAATAATTATATTATTGAACCCCAAATCAACATATTAGAATGATTTTGGAGGGATGAAGCCTGTCACACAGAAAAGTAACAGCATCATAGAAATAAACTACATTTTAAAATATTGTTTTTTTCTATTTGTATTAATATTTCACAATGCAACTGTTTTTAAATTTGTTATCAAATAAATGCAGCCTTGGTGAGTATAAGAGACTTCTTTCAAAAGAAAAAATAAATCTTCCAAACTCAAACTTCTGAATGGAAGTATATATTCAAGTAAAATAAGAAATTCTAGGGGGAATAACAAAAAGTGTATGGTTGGTTGTATGATTTTATCCTATGGGATTTGATGAGATCATGAAAAGTCATCCATATTCCATACCATACAAAACTTTTCTTTGGAAAAATATGCTCATTTGAACACAAATTACGTTAAAGATGAAGAGTGCAATTTCTGTGCCAAGATATTAATTTATGTAAGTATTTGTTTATTTTAAGTTTATATATAAGTTTTAATTTTTTTCACTTTTTTTCTCCCCCTGTCTGATATTGTTTGGACAAAGAATCACTGGTTGAGTCAGAGATCAACATGTCGAGCAATGTTTTGAAAATTGTAATAGTAGAAACGTCAAACGACTTAAACAATTGACTTTGCACATTAAACTATGATAAAACATCAAATACATTTTACTTTAATATATTATGAGAAGTCAATCTCAATGTTTCTTACCCGACTCTTTGAGATAGGTGCATTTCTGGTAAACAGATGAGCGCAAGCTGGGTGCGCGAACATTGTAGAGACGGGCCTTCTCAATGCGTCCGTCAAACACTCGAAGGAGGGGTTCTTTCTCCTCCCACTGAGACATGATCTTGTTGTCAATGAAGGTGGCAAACATTTGTGTTTCGATGAAATGGGACAGGAAGGGCAAGTACGGTTCCGGCTGGTCGGAAAGGAATGAGGCCTAAAGAGAAATCAAATGAAAGAACTTATATGGATGTACCATCTGAAACTTTTGATGAAAACTTTGCTACAAGACCAATACAAAAGTGCCTAACTAAACTACAACAAAAATATTAAGAGCGTGTCTAATTAGTTTTGCTAATAAGTGTGTAGAATGTAAGTCACCTTGTCAAAGTTGTGCATTTGCTCTCTATTGGTCAGCCAGGACTCCAAATCTGGTGAATTCTGAATCACAAACGACTCGTAGTCCGCAAACATTGTCGCAAAGCGTGCAGCGAACACCTCCCTCAGCTGCACGTTCAGTTTAGCATTCCTCAGCTCCTCTTCCTCGGCAGGAGACCTTCCTCCCACGCCCTCCTCCCCTACAGCTTTCTGCCCCGCTGCCAATGCCTCCAGACGGGCCACTTTCACCCCAGTCCTTTTGGCCAGAGCCTGCAGACGCTCCAGAGTCGGGTTGCCCTGAAGAAGTTCCAGCACGTCCAGTGCCTCTCCACCGAGGTTGCCATTCTTTCTGTCATCCACCAACTCACTCAGGGATGTGCTCTTCAGCTCCTTCTCCAGCATGGAGGTCTGCGAGCTGACAGCTGGTTCAGGGGAGGCGTTGCCCCCCTCAGGAGACAGACCAAAACTGAGCAATACCTCACTGAGTTCCTGGATGAATTCGGTCTTGTTGGGGAACTGAGGGAAGTCTTCAGGCAGCTCAATGCAGTGACTGTCGATGTCAACAAAACACAGGTTCGCCTGAGGAGAGAAAGGAGCCGTGCAAATTAACATTTACGTTTCAAGCCACACATCTAAGTCTGCAATTGCAGGAGTTCAAGTTTTGCTGTACAACACTTGTATTATTTGTTATTAAATGTCACCAGGCTGATGTTTCTGTAATTACACTTCAACCTGTAGTATAATGCAACAATAAACAATAATGCTGTGACAAAGGAAATTTGTTTGTGTGTGTGTGTGTGTATAAATGGGTCAATGACAAACAAGTGTTTTTAAATGCTTTGAAGTAAAACATTTTAAAATGTATTTTACTTTATATATACAGTCAAACCAAAAATTATTCAGACATCAGATTTTTTTTTTTACTAGTGGGTGCAGTTCATTTATGCAAGTGATAGCAAAATAAAGTAAACTGTGACTTATTATACCCAAAAGTTGTGGACTACCAGTAAAATTGATTTAAAAATTTGGGACCAAAAACTATTCAGACACTTTGACCTGACCATGTTTTGCTTAAGTGTTTTTTCTTTAATAGCTAAAGTGACATTTTTACATCAAAAACTGAACAAAATTAAGCATTGCTTGTTAATTGGTTGACCTAAATTGGTATGATCTAATTGTGTACTTAAATTTAACAGCTGACAGCTAATTCAACTGAATCCATTACATACCTTTCTATCAAAGTTATCTGACATTATCAAGATGAATGAACTCTGAGTTCTTGTTGTATTTTATTACCATTATCTAAACTATAGCAAATAAACTGTGATAATGTGAGAAATGTTGAAGGCGTCTGAAATTTTGGTTTGACTATTTATAATTAATTTTTTGGGGTCATAAATTAATATTATATATATACAAATATAATATAATATAATATAATATAATATAATATAATATAAAGTAATTTAAGACCAAAAAATTAGTGGATCTCGGTAAAAAAAAAAAAAAGTATTCCAAAATAATAGCCTGGCAAAATAATCACTATTACCATGAAGATTACATTATAAGCCAACTTCGATGTGATGTGCCAAACAAAGAAATGTCCAAAACACAAATGCATGCTGGGAAATTACATTATTCAAACACACACACTGACCCAAGTTGCAATAGAAATCATCAGCTGTACTGACCTAATAACCAAAGCCAACATCTGGAATTAGGTTAAATCAATCCAATGGATCATTAGAAATCTCACTGTGTGACACATTGCTGTTCAGTCACATGCAATGCAGCTCATGCAGTCAAAATGCCCTCAAGTGAGTGAGTGTGTGAGTGAGAGTGACCTTGTTGCTGTAAAAATAAATCAGTCAAGCAGAACTATCCGTTCTGTCAGGCCACAATGCTGACAGCCTGTCAGAAACCAGCATTCGGGCCAGTATGTATGTGTTTGACCTAGCTAAATAAAAACACTACATCTTTTTTCCTATTAAAAAAATGCTAGTTACTTTAGGTTCATCTTTATGACTGTCTTCGTTTCATATGAGTGCACATAACTTGAAATGTGTGTCAGATTTCTTTATATGTACTTTTTTAATGTCTCCTTTTACACTGCTACATAAACATGAGTGTGTGCATAGATGTAGGTTTGTGTTGTACTGCATTTAACACTCATTGCATACTAATACTGTTCTAAAATGGGTAAAAACAATGTACAGGAGCTGAAGCATAATAATTTAACTAAATGTCACTGTTAGCCATACTCGGAATGCTGTTTCACAAGGACTTATCAGAAAACCTCAAGTGGTTTTAAAGCAAGGACAAGGAAACGGTTGTGAGGAGAGCAGCATTTTAGCAGAATCCAGCCTCAAGAGATGACTACAGAAATGGCAATCCCAAAATGCCCTGTAACAAGGTCAGTGAAAAAAAGTCAGTGAATCCTGAAAATATCACAGTATATTAAGCAGTACAACGGTTTTCAATATTGATAACAACAAATGTTTCTTGAGCAGCAAATCAACATATTAAAATGATTTCTGAAGGATCATGTGACACCGAAGACTGGAGTAATGATGCTGAAAATACAGCTTTGCCATCACAGGAATAGATCACATTTTAAAATAGAAAACTATTATTTAAAATTGTCTTCATACAGTAATTACCAATATTTGTGTTTTTAAATGTAACAAATCAACTTGATTACAGAAATGGCAATCCCAAAATGCCCTGTAACAAGGTCAGTGAAAAAAAGTCAGTGAATCCTGAAAATATCACAGTATATTAAGCAGTACAACGGTTTTCAATATTGATAACAACAAATGTTTCTTGAGCAGCAAATCAACATATTAAAATGATTTCTGAAGGATCATGTGACACCGAAGACTGGAGTAATGATGCTGAAAATACAGCTTTGCCATCACAGGAATAGATCACATTTTAAAATATATTAAAATAGAAAACTATTATTTAAAATTGTCTTCATACAGTAATTACCAATATTTGTGTTTTTAAATGTAACAAATCAACTTGATCAAATAAATACAGCCTTGGTGAACATAATAATTTTTTCAAAAATATTTCAGAATCCTACCGACCCCAAACTTTTAAACATTACCTTACATAAGCAAACAGCAAACAGAAACACAAAAGTGATGCAGTAAAATGTAAACCCATGTTGCTTTCCCAAAATGAGCCATCTCCTCTCTTGTTCCCCTTCGGTCTCGCTCTCGATGCCATTAGTCTTTTTTTTCTGGGTCAGAGTGACTTCAAAGAGAAAGCATAGCAGAGAATCTGGATGCTGAGTTACGGAAAATGGGATTTAGGGATGAGGATGTGGGGAAGCCTTGCAGCATCCAGATGGACAAACCATGAATAATTACCCTCTGCTAAGAATTCTGATACAGCACGACACAAAGAAACGAAGGCTCTGAAGCTAATGTAACACATCAAACATGGAAGCACTGTAAGAAATAAGAGGGAAACAAGGACTGTAAAAGAAGAGCCTCATACTGGTCAGGCTATTTTCAGCAAAGGCCTCTGGTGCTTTCTAAAGGCATTGAGGGCATTCTAATACGCAGATCATCCATCGTCACCAGCCAATCCGGCTCAAAGTTATAAAGCCTCTTAAAAAAACAGCCCACTTGATGGAGGCGTCCACATCCCAGGAATTTCTAAGTGGCTGTGGTGAGAAAAAGTGTGTGAATGTGCAGGTTACCTCTTGAGGCAGCTCTAGTTTGGAGCGGTCCGTGCCCTCTTTGGACTGCAGGCCCATGAGATACGGCACAGGGGCGTCCAGGAAGTGCAGAAGTGAAGCAGGAAGGATGGGCACATACACATGCTGCCACTGGAACGGGAACAGCAACGTTGTGATTCCTTCTGCAACCACCATGAGCCTCTGGTAATCTAGATGTACACAGACAAAAGAAAAGTCAAAATAACTTCAAATGACAAAAAATTATTATAAGAAATCATTATACAATTCAAATATGTAATTGAAATTCACTTTTTGCCACCAGCAAGTGAATTATTTAAAAAAAAATTGCCGGCCTTAAAATATGTCTTACCAGCCATGAAACTGTATTCTGCATTATAGAAAAATAAATAAATTAAATAATAATAATAATAATAATAAATTAAAAGAAATAAATGATAAAGAAATCAGATTTTTAAAAAAAAGTGTTATATCATAATGTCTTTTCTTATTGTAATGTCTATTTGAAGCTTTCTCAAAAATTTCTCAGACAAATAATTTGATGTGTGATTAAGCAGATCAATTAATCACCACACTGTGTAACTAATAAATTATTTTTTGATCACTTTACAGCCCTAGTATATTGTTTTTTGTCAATATAAAAGTTAATAAAAGTTTCCCTACTATAGTATATATGCATAACAGTGAAGATCGTAACCATGAATTATGTTGAGATTCCTAAAACTGGCTGGCAAATCTGTTTATTGAATCATCAGTCAATAAGTCATTTTTTCTACTTGCCTTTGGCACTTGATGATGGTTCAATTTTGACCCAAGTTAAGTTAGATGAAAAGCAACTTATCGCATAATACTCTATGGTGGACTTACTAAAACAGGGCAATGTTATTATTAATAGATGTTTCTCATAAAAATCTCATCATTTGTTTATATGGAGAACAGTCAGAGGAATTAATTAGCATGTGTATCAGCTTGTGTTTGCTGAAAAGCATATGTGCTGCAGCAGGGTAATGTAATATTCATTAGGCTCCTCCACATTCACTCAGTCTCCACATCAAAGGCCCTGCAAAGATGCACTTTCCAAAATCAGAACTCTAATTGAAATGCTTAAATAAGAGATTAACTGATCTGCATACAGCGAATACTTGAGTCAAACACAAACAGCATGTAAGCTTGATATAAAAGTAGAGCTTGCAAATTGGTTAATACATTTGAAATGGAATTAATTAAACCACATAATTATCATAGCATTAAGACAATTAATCATTAGAAATAGACAGAAAGTCAATATATAGTTTGGAAACTGCATTACTGTAATAAACACATAAATAAGTCTATATTTTGTATTTATTTGATCATGTAATAATAGTAAAAAAAAGAATACAATGAAATAAAGAAAACAAAAATAAAACAAAAGCAATATGCACCAAACAAAAGCAAACAAACCCATGCGAAAGCAAATGAATATGAACAAAACAAATTAAAGCAAAAGAAACCAGGCACAACCAAACAAAAACGATAGCAAACAAAGCCAAACTAAACCGAACGAAACAAAAGAAAATGAAAGCAAAATAAAACATTCAAAACCAAAGTAATATGAACAAAGCCAGTCGAAACTACACAGAACGAAAGCAAACAAAGCAAGACCAAACAACTTAGCCAAGCGAAACCGAACTAAACCAAATGAAACCAGCGGAACACACAAAATCACAAGAAACAGGCAAAACCAAATGAAAGCAAACAAAAAGAGAGACCAAACAAGTATTAACAAAACAAACGAAAACAAAAAATACAAAACAAAACCATACTAAAGCAAGCACAAGTGGATAAATCTGGACTAGTCAGGTGCAAACAAAGACGACCAAACAAAACAAAAAACATATTTCCTAAGCTAAAAACTGTAGGTTCCTTACCTTGTGAGTAGAGAAGGATCTGCATCTCTAGTAGGACACAAGTAAAAATCTGCACCAGATTTTCCACTCCCAACAACTGGAAGGCCTCACTCAGTGGGAAATCAGCCAACGGCAGCTCCCCGACACCAGGCCTCTGGCACAGGATAGGTTCATACACTCCATGGAACTTCAAAGAGCGTCCAGGCGGCGGCAAAGGTACTTCATAGAGGATGTTGAAGATGTAGCTTTCCAAAGGAAGTGGGGGTGGCTCATGGGAGATGACAGCACGGTGCACCTGGGACAGGAAGCGTTTACAGGCGTGCATGAAGGGCATGGGCGTGATTAGACACACAGCTTTGGACACGTACAGAGTGTCGCGAACAGAATCGTAGCCTTCGCCGGAGCAGCCACAGCTCCTGCGACCCCCTTGTGAGGAGGAAGTTGAGGAAGGAGACTCAACTTCATCCAGGCTGCTGGCTAAAGAGTCCATACTAGAGGAAGATGAAGACGATGAGGAAGAGGATGACGACGAAGGGCAGTTATGGGCAGATGCATTATGCTCTGCTTGGTGCATCTGGTGTAGCGTCTGCATGGCGGAGCAGATCTGAGGGCTGGTCACCTCCTCGTAGAAGGTGTGAACGAAACCGTAAGTGCGGGATCCGTCTTCTCTTGTGATGAGGAAAGAGTGGAACTGTGGGGTACGACTGTCACGCTGTGTTCGGAATGACAGACCTTTGGGCATGCAGAGCTGAAGAGAAAGAGAGAGAAAATGACTTGTTGCTTTTTCTTAATGTTGCCTTTATTGTGCATTTTTATATATGCAGGGCTTCTACGGTTTACATTTCCAGCAACATCAAACAACACATTTTATCCAGACCTTGGAAGACTGAGAACTGAAATGGAGTTCTGTGATTGCAAGCTGTCTTTCAAGCACTTTTAATGTGTGTGTGTGTGTGTGTGTATATATATCGTTTTATGTGTGAACCTCTGCAGATAAGAGACTGGCCTTGAAAAATGACTCACACAGGAACGTTATTACGTTTTTGTTTTTTTCTCAAATGATGTGATGGCACCATGACTGGCAGCGCTGAACACTTCAGGTGTCCCTTTTACAGAGCGAGAACATGCACAATGAGCTGTTTCCATGCCGATGAAAGCAGAGAGCCTGGGTTGAATAATTGATGCTGGTGTCACTACTGCCAAGCTTCCGTTTACGTTTGCCGATGGAAAAAACGACCTTGCAGCACAGGAACGATAGGTCAGAAGTTTTCGTTACCTCTGCATACTCTGGGGCGGTAACACAAACCCTTCGGCTGATCACTGCATGCAACCACAGAGTGAGTGAGAGGCTGTGTGTACATGTTATGACACTCCAAATCAATGCAGATACAGATCTTTCTTATGACTAATGTGAGAAATAGTTAGATTGTGTGTGGGAATTTATTTGAAACAGAAAACAAACAAGTTTAGATGAGTTGGACATGATAAATTTGTCATAAAAATTCACCCAAGTCATCAAGCCTCAGCATGCTCTGAAAGGCACGTGTCCCAGACATACTTCAAACAAAACATAAAAAAAGCACAACATCACAAATCAAAACAAACAAACACACAAAACAAGAATAATAAAATATAAAATAAATGAATAAACAAAAATAAAACTTAAAACAAAACAATAGAATGATATAAAACAAAAAGAATGAAACAAAACAACCAAAAACAAAACTCTAAAACAAAAAAAAACCACATCACAACAAAACAAAAACACAAAATAAGAATAATAAAATAAACAAAATAAGACTCCAAACAAAACACAAAACAATAGAATGATACAAAACAAAAGAATAAAACAAAACACAACCAAAACAAAACTCTAAAACAAAAGGGAAAAAAACAAAAGGATTGTAGAAAACGAGCACAAAACAAATTGAATGATACAAAACAAAAGAATGATATAAAACATTAAAAACATTCAAATCACTGCTGGAGGTAATAAATCAAAGGCGTAAACCAAAGAGGTAAAAGTGTCAAGTACTGAAGTCACTTACCATGTTGACAGCATCCTGGTCAAATGGGTTGCACTCGATGTTCTCTGGGTAGTGGGCAAGCACTTTGGATTTGAAGGTCCTTTTGAGGGGGCTCTGATCAAAGTTTTCCCCTGCAGAAAGGAATGGAATAAGTATTAAGGAGAGTAGAGGATTGGAAACATCTTTTAAAATATTCATAAGCTTTAGAATGCAAAAGCTATGGTACGAGTGTGTCTGAATTTTTATACATGGTTGTAAATAAGAAGAGGTTTGTCATGTGTCTTAGCTACACTGTATTAAACTGATAAAAGTTTCATGGTTTCGCCACTAAACTGCAAGGCCTTTTGAGAGGATGGTACTGTATGGAGATATCCACATAAACAAGTTACATCTGCTTAGTTGTGCTGGTGTTTACTTGAATGTATATTTCAACATACAGTTAAACAAATCTTGCACAATACTCTAAGACACATTTCACACCTTCTTTTGATAGCTTAATAACAAACGTTGCTGTGACATGTTTACTACAACTCTCTCAGGTACGTTGGACAGAGTAATCCACTTGTATTTACCATGTAAATGTGACCTAGATACGACACCTGTCTCTGAAGGGATAGTGTTGGTGTGAGCAGGATTCCTCACCCTCTAATCTCAACATACATACACCCACATCTGGTTTGTTCACCATGATCAGCAGCATTCATTTTCCCCCTCATATACCCCAAAACAAGAATGTGATAACTGACTCATGATATGTTGATGAATACATTTTTATCATGACAAAAAAAATGTATGCAAAAGATTTTAGGATGGTAATGGATATGACAATGTTAATGTATTTGTTCTCAGTGGAATAAATCTACTACGCTGCTGAATTGCTGCTGCTGTTGGTTACTGCAGTAGTTGCAGATTATTGCTGCTGCTTCTGCAAAGCAAGTACAGGAACTTGCTATTGCCAATACATACGCTGATATGGTGCTGCGAGCATTAAGACATACTGCTGCTGCACAAATAGCACATAAAATAACCCGTAGCAGATCTATACAGGTGGAGCTGGGGAAGGTAGGAACTCTGAAAGCGTGCTGCGAAATGCTCTAGTAAATGCTAACCAGCCATTTAAATGTAAAGCAGAAAGCTCATTGGCTGCATATGTGACATGAACCAATCAGCTTGAGCCAAGTAGTTTAACGCTGTGAATATCATCAGTTTGCATTAACGACCCATCAGCATGTGCCATCTAGAGTTTCATGACAGAGCTTAGCATAAATAAATTAACAAACAAACATTTCAGTAAAAACAATAACTCATATTGAGAACAGTCTATTATAATATAATAAATATTTTTAATATATGCACAATATGTTTAGGATATCAAATTTATTTTAGTGAATTATAAGCAGAAAATTAGAGCAAAATAGCGGTTTTGCTTTAATATTGAATATTATTTATATTTCAGTTTTAAAACATAAAAAAAAGCACAACATCACAAATCAAAACAAACAAACACACAAAACAAGAATAATAAAATATAAAATAAATGAATAAACAAAAATAAAACTTAAAACAAAACAATAGAATGATATAAAACAAAAAGAATGAAACAAAACAACCAAAAACAAAACTCTAAAACAAAAAAAAACACATCACAACAAAACAAAAACACAAAATAAGAATAATAAAATAAACAAAATAAGACTCCAAACAAAACACAAAACAATAGAATGATACAAAACAAAAGAATAAAACAAAACACAACCAAAACAAAACTCTAAAACAAAAGGGAAAAAAACAAAAGGATTGTAGAAAACGAGCACAAAACAAATTGAATGATACAAAACAAAAGAATGATATAAAACATTAAAAACATTCAAATCACTGCTGGAGGTAATAAATCAAAGGCGTAAACCAAAGAGGTAAAAGTGTCAAGTACTGAAGTCACTTACCATGTTGACAGCATCCTGGTCAAATGGGTTGCACTCGATGTTCTCTGGGTAGTGGGCAAGCACTTTGGATTTGAAGGTCCTTTTGAGGGGGCTCTGATCAAAGTTTTCCCCTGCAGAAAGGAATGGAATAAGTATTAAGGAGAGTAGAGGATTGGAAACATCTTTTAAAATATTCATAAGCTTTAGAATGCAAAAGCTATGGTACGAGTGTGTCTGAATTTTTATACATGGTTGTAAATAAGAAGAGGTTTGTCATGTGTCTTAGCTACACTGTATTAAACTGATAAAAGTTTCATGGTTTCGCCACTAAACTGCAAGGCCTTTTGAGAGGATGGTACTGTATGGAGATATCCACATAAACAAGTTACATCTGCTTAGTTGTGCTGGTGTTTACTTGAATGTATATTTCAACATACAGTTAAACAAATCTTGCACAATACTCTAAGACACATTTCACACCTTCTTTTGATAGCTTAATAACAAACGTTGCTGTGACATGTTTACTACAACTCTCTCAGGTACGTTGGACAGAGTAATCCACTTGTATTTACCATGTAAATGTGACCTAGATACGACACCTGTCTCTGAAGGGATAGTGTTGGTGTGAGCAGGATTCCTCACCCTCTAATCTCAACATACATACACCCACATCTGGTTTGTTCACCATGATCAGCAGCATTCATTTTCCCCCTCATATACCCCAAAACAAGAATGTGATAACTGACTCATGATATGTTGATGAATACATTTTTATCATGACAAAAAAAATGTATGCAAAAGATTTTAGGATGGTAATGGATATGACAATGTTAATGTATTTGTTCTCAGTGGAATAAATCTACTACGCTGCTGAATTGCTGCTGCTGTTGGTTACTGCAGTAGTTGCAGATTATTGCTGCTGCTTCTGCAAAGCAAGTACAGGAACTTGCTATTGCCAATACATACGCTGATATGGTGCTGCGAGCATTAAGACATACTGCTGCTGCACAAATAGCATATAAAATAACCCGTAGCAGATCTATACAGGTGGAGCTGGGGAAGGTAGGAACTCTGAAAGCGTGCTGCGAAATGCTCTAGTAAATGCTAACCAGCCATTTAAATGTAAAGCAGAAAGCTCATTGGCTGCATATGTGACATGAACCAATCAGCTTGAGCCAAGTAGTTTAACGCCGTGAATATCATCAGTTTGCATTAACGACCCATCAGCATGTGCCATCTAGAGTTTCATGACAGAGCTTAGCATAAATAAATTAACAAACAAACATTTCAGTAAAAACAATAACTCATATTGAGAACAGTCTATTATAATATAATAAATATTTTTAATATATGCACAATATGTTTAGGATATCAAATTTATTTTAGTGAATTATAAGCAGAAAATTAGAGCAAAATAGCGGTTTTGCTTTAATATTGAATATTATTTATATTTCAGTTTTATACTTTGGTTATTGCTTTCAAGAGTTGTTGTTATCATTATCATATGCTCACTTCAATTTGCACATTTTTTAATGATAACATTGGGTAAAAATGTGGAATATTCAACTAAATTATACAAAATATTGATTGATTATCAAAACAGTATTAATGGGATTTTCAGACTTTATTGACATTTTTGAACCTATATCTTTCATGTGAGCACCAAGGCTTGATGTGTGTAGAGTGCATGTTTACCACTACACCAGAGTTATATTTGTATTATTAAATATATAAAAAAAATGAAAATGCATCAATAACCACATTTGTTTAGGGTAAATAGCACACAATGATGGTCTAAAAACAACAGGGAGGCACTGTGTCACTTTCTTCCATCATGAACGCAACAGTTTCATGAGAAACGGTTGCTTTTCTGGCTCAGTGCATGTTACTGTGCCTCAAACAAGCCGACACATGCAGCCCATGGTGTTAGATGAAAACAGCATAGCTTTGACAGCAAAACACAAGCGGGAACACCGATTGGAAAAGCGCCATGAACGTCACAACAGTGCAGATTACAGGAGCAGACAGTGTGTCATGCAGGATCTGGGTCTGATTAGAGTTCAAATGCACAGATTTAAATCAAATGAATGTGAAGCAGACAAGATAGAGCATGCAGTTAGCATAAAATGATAAACAAGACAGCTAACTGATGATACAGACGTTACAAGTACAATCTTGATGAGATGAAAACAGCACTCAGGCACTCCGAATGAGGCAAGGTAATCAGGATTGAGTCTAATTAACAACCTAGCTCATGTTTTGTCATGTAAGAAGATTATTTACAGCGCAAGTCTGTGCTGTGGGGTGAACTAGCGGTGATTTGGCAGGAGAGACTGTGTGACAGCCCTGGGCATTAACTAACAGGAAGGGACAGGGAGGAGGAGAAATCTACTAAAGCCCTTTATAACAGAGAGAGTCTGAGGTCGCAGGCATACACGTGAGAAAGAGAGAGACTGATGCAAACACCCCATGAGGTGATAGCAGGAACAGCAGGAGAACAGCAGAAAAACAAGACAGGGAGGGAGAAAGACAGGCAGTGTTGCAAGAGAAGAGGAACTGATTTAAAATAACAAGCTGAGGCAAATGACCCACATTTAACTATGATGCATTTTCCAAACCGAGAGAGAACGAGAGGAAAAGAGGGAGGAAGTAGTGAGGACCGAAAGCTAAATGACAACAATGACCCCGTTTACACTTGGTTTTCAGTCTTGGTTCATTCTGATATGTAGCAAATGTTTAATCAATCATTGATGGATATAATGAAGTCCTGTACAGTTTTCCAAACTGAACAGCCCATTTATTTCGGAAATACATCAAATTACAGAAGCAAAATGGGTTGCAATTGACATTAATGTGTTTTAAATATGTCCAATCAAGTCAAGTGGTAGCCAAAAACACATTACATTACATTTGTATATATTATATAAAGGTAAATATGAATCTGTTCTGATGCAACCCGGATAGCTAAATGATCAATTAAAATGAGGGCTTTTAAATGGTTAGAAGCAGGTCCAAAACAAAATAACCACTCAATCTAAAAAAGTGCTTATATTTATTTGCACAGAACTGCAGCAACATTAAAATTGTGAATATTACATTTATTTTATTTACACATTTGACTGATAAATGTGAAAATAATATTAAACATTCAATAATATTAAAATTCTATAAGCTTTAACAATTAAAATTAAAATATTAAATTTTTATAATATATTTCTTCTAAATGAATAAAAATGAAAAACTATGATTTATGCACCAATTTATCATTGTATAAATGTAATATAATAAGAATGAATAATATAAATAATTATAACAACATTCTAATATATTAAAATAAAATACATTTTAAAAATTACATCTCTAAATCATGCATCTATACATTTAATCAATAAGTATTACAATAATATTAAATAATCTATAAAATGGAAATTCCAATCTTTAAATAATTAAATAAAATACTCATTTTAAAAACTGCAAGTGAATCTAAATCACAATATTAAAATGTACAGCATGAAATGTGGATATTAATTTTGAGATTAGTTTAATATTTGGGAGAAGTGCTTGGTTGTGGTGATAGTTTTCATTTTTTGTGCTTTATCCATTAAGCAGTAATGCACTGATGCAGTAAGCAACCCATTTAGTCAAAATCAGAAACCCTCCCCTCAAAGTCTATATACAAGTAGACACAGGGGATACATTTGGAAAGCATGTTAAAACCAGGTTTAAACGGCAATCTTTCTTGCCTGACCTCTTGAGATTGGATCATTCAAAGTGGATCTTAATACCAGGTGTAATCGGGGACAACAGAACGAAGGATGGGAAATAAAAATGGAGAAATTTAAGGAAGCTTAGTGGTGAGGAGGTTAATGATGACGTTTACCTGCTGCCACGGCCTCTGGGTCCCTGCCCTGACGATCGGCCTCTAGCCATTGGTACAAAGCTGAGATGGCAAACACACAAACAGACAAACAAAAAGCAAAAATGTCAAACCAAACACAGAAATGGAGAAGCAAACAAAATGGATGCGTGACTGAATCCAAAGTGCAATGGCTTTGCAGACACAAACAGCGTGTGTGATATTTCGCAGGCTGAGCAGTGATGGAGGTGAAGTGAGACATGTTTCACAGCCTCTGCTTTGGCGAGTAGGCCGTAATCTCGGTTGGGATGGAGACATCACGTTGTGCATGACCAGCAAGCGCTAGGCAGAATATCTTAATGGTGGTCACGACGAGCTGGTTAAGAAATATTTACATGTGCAACCCACACACATACACGCATTCAAATACAGACTTCTATGCCTGGCTGGAAAGACATCTTCAGTTTGGCCTCAAATAGTTTGGATCATCAAAATTGGATGTGTGCAATTTAACAAAACAAAAAAACAAAAAACAAAACAAAAACTCTTGGTTCAGACTAAGCCTCACTTTTCAAATACACAAAGTGTTAACAAAAACAAACAAAAATGAAAAACAATTTCACTTAATTAATAGAAATTGTAATAGAAAATACAAACAAACTTGGGAAATTGGGAAAAAGTACACACACAAAACCAAAATTAGCTCAAATAAAATAACAGTCACAAAATGATCTTAGTTTCATTTGTAATAAAATAAAATAAAAATGAAAAATTATTTAAAGGGAGAGAACTGAGAATACATTAAGAATGACATACTACTGTAATTTATATGTTTAAAAATATATTATTGCGTATAATACAGTAATGAGAATCTTCACTGAGAATACAGGTAATGAACAAACAATAAAACAAAACAAAAACGAATCAAATATACTCAAAATGTTGTACAGAATATTAAATATATATGTATATACTAAACATTTATTTGAGTTATTAGAGAGCCAGACGTGTTGTTCTTGAGATTCATCCACACAGGAAGCGACTGCTGTGTCTGCAGTGTTATGAACGGTATTTGCAGGATGATTCAGCCGGTGTGTTACGAACAAACGTCACTGCTGACTGAATGTGAATCAAGCACTCTTTCTCACCTAAGATCCTTTCTACCTCTGCAAATCTGTTAAATCCAGCACCTGCCATACTCTTCCTCACTTAATTAACCCATATCACACATTTTCAAAGATGCTGAATGTTAAATGCAAGTCTGCTACCTCCAAGTCCCAGAAAATGGACTACACCATGTTTTTTGTACCACTGTATTCTTTACAGTACCTTCGAGTACCAATACACTAATTATTAAGTTTCATACTAATGTATATACAGTATATATACATATTATAATCAAAATCATCAGGTAGCACTGCAGCATTTTTTCCCAAGTGTCCATAAAAGCAGAACTTTTTCTGCATTAACACCTGGCAGCAGTGGAAAAGAGTATTGGATTTGTGATATTGAGCTTCAAAGACCAAAATCACTGGCCTCGCTCTGAGCACCATTCATTTTAAAAGTGCTGATGGAAGACCGAGAAAGAGCAAGGGACGGCACACAATGTCTCCTGCAGAGCCTTTGTCCATCCTCAACAGCGTTACGTAACTGAGCTCTAGCTATGCATGTGTGTGTGTGTGTGTGTGTGTGTTTCAAGTGCTGAGCGGGCACATTGTGAGCACAAGACATTGGGGTCCTTTTCCTCCTCGCAGAGTTTGGCAGTGAGCACAGCTCCAGTGTCAGACTCATAACACATCTACTAAAGCTGTAATCCACAACAAGTCCCGGCCCGTCAAAACCTCACTGTTTTATCTTACTGCACCATAAGCAAGAAATCAATTCACATACATGGTTCGGCACTGAAATTTCACGGGACAAATTGCTTTAATTTGCTTGATAAGAGTTACTTCGAAAGCAAGTGAAGGGATGGAACAAGTAGCAAAAGGCTTTCATCTTCAAAAATATTTAATGAGACGGTTCCAGTGCTTTATTAAGAAAAGAGCCTTGTAATGTAAGGAACATGGTTAACCTCAATCGTTCAAATATGAACACAAACAACACAAAAAGCAGACTTTTCAGGCATGACACAAGGCTGTCAAGATAATGTGTGGACTCCTATCAGCCAGTTGCAGACATTCAGGTCAAAGTTCACAGAGAATGCAACAATCTTTAAAAGTGCAATTTCAAAGTCTGACTAAAATCCTATCAGCGGTTTTTTTGTGAAACCTGACTAACAGATCTAGATAATGCGATCTCAGCTGTGCATGCAGACGATTTAGAAACAACAATGCTGCTGTATACTTATAGTCTTGTATACTAAACTTATGCAGAGTGTATGGGATGACAAAACTAATATTCAAGTTTAAACTGTATAATTACCATGAAATACTATTGGTTAAAAGTTAAACAAATAAACTACCAAATTAACCTTCATATTTAACAGTATAGATACAAATCTGAGCTGAAGAAGCATATGAATCACACTGAAATCAAACAGTCACATGGTGTTTGATCAATCTTATCTGAGGACACAGGTCACCGATGAGCTGGAACTTAGTCAATGAACAGAGTCAACATGACCAGTTCATGGTCTCATTCGGTCTCACACACAAAAACATAGTGAAGACCGAGCAGATTCAATTGTGTAACCTTTTTGACCTGTTTGAGACCCTAGATATGCATATCGGCCCATCTAATGTTTGTAATGATACCTTTGTGGTTGAGAAACTCAAAGCATCTGAGACATTACATATCCAGACCTGCATCCATCTACTTTCTGACTGTTATTAAAGTAAAACATTTATATATATTAAAAAAAGCTTTTACTTTGAAAGCTGTATGCCATTCAGACCACAGACACAAAAACATACATTTATATGATGAAGGCTTCTGAATGGCCTTACTTCAGTTGTAATATATTAGGATGAGGGCAGAGTGGTAAAGATGTTATTAGGGATGCACCGATACCACTTTTTCCAGTACTCGCCCGATACCGATACTTTTATTTTTGGTACTTGCCGATACAGAGTACCGATACCAATATTTTCATTGCATTTGTACATTTTTTAAATATTGGGTACAGAAACCAAAAGAGTATGTATAACGTTAGTTGGTTAACTTCATTTATCAAATAGATAGTCAAGCCAAAATTTATTCAGACACCTTCAACATTTCTCACATTATCACAGTTTATTCGCTATAGTTTAGAAAATGGTAATAATATAGGACAAGAACTCAGAGTTAAACTGTGTCAGAACAAATTCAGCTTGATAATGTCAGATAACTTTGATAGAAAGGTATGTAATGGATTACAATAAACCAAAAATTATTCATACAGCTGTCAATATTTACACAACTATCAATACTTTGTCGGGTGACCCTTAGCCTTAATGACAGCATATAGTCTCCTGGGCATGCTGTCAACCAGGTTCATGCAAACCTGAACATCAATTTTTTCCCAGACTCGGTCTGAATAATTTTTGATCCCAAATTTGTATCAATTTTACTGGTAGTCCACTGTATGAAGAATTTTTGGGTATAATATATCACAGTTTAGTTTATTTTGCTATCCTCACTTTACATAAATGAACTATAGTGTCCTACACTCACTAGTAAAAAAATATCTGGTCTCTGAATAATTTTTGGTTTGACTGTATATCCTTCTGTTATTTTCACACTTAATTATGCCGATTAAAATGTATTTTACAAGTTTTTGTTACTTTCACATAAATAGAAGTCGCATTTTTTTTCATCTGAAATGTGCAGCGATTTATTTTCCAAAGCCACTCATATAATGAAGAAACACTCAAGCAAGCAAAACACGTGCAACGCGTGCACGTATTTATACTGGTGCAGAATGAGAGGGACAAGTACAGTACATCCTAGCGCATTTCACACAGGCTGTTAGTTTCACTTTCGCCAGAAAGTCGTGTATGCTTAAGGGTGAAAATAAATGATGTTTATAGTGAATGCCCCTATAAACGGTCTTATACTTAAGATTTAGTTTTAATCCAAATGATGCATGCTAAGTGAGCGAACATCAATAAAGATCACACAACAGAAGTGCGCACTCTCTCTCTCTCTCTCTCTCCCTCCCTACCATTAAGTAACTTGTGCATTGTTTTACTTACATCTTTTTGACATATCCGACCGAACTACAAACTTTCCAGTGATGTCTGTGAGAAAGTGAGATTCACTCGACAAGCTCGCACATCTGCGCAGCCAAACGCTCAATCCACTCAGCGTGCTTTGCTCATCAGCCGGCACAAATCAGCTATACAGGCATTAATACTGAATATTTTATATTCATTGCATACATATACTTCGTAGACATCTTTAATCTCTAATAACCCCATTCTGCTGTCTGTTGTCGGTATTTCTTTGTCTGAATATGGCACTTATCACATGCTGTGTGGTATCAGCGTTTGGTATTGGGGCATTTTAACGAGTATTAGTACAGGAGCTCAGTATCGGACCCGATACCAGTACCGGTATCGGTGCATCCCTAGATGTTATGTAAGTGGATTTTGCGCCCGTGACATAACTCAGCAAGTTATGACAAATATTGCCCATTCGGCACTATGCCACCAGCTTCTGTGCAGAGAGCTTTAAACAACTCTCATCTAGAGCAATGATACGTATGACATATATTCACCCAAAGCAGACAAACTGCCCCCCAGATGCATTTAAAAGTTCTTGACAGACATAATCATCCCATATATGCACTATATGGCTGAATGTATACCTTGAAATTAAAACATTTGGACTCCAGCCACTTCTATGAGAACAAGCATCTTAATGATACACCATACAATCTTTGGACCCAATTTCTTTAACATATACTAACATTTAAATTAATAATTTGATACTCTGCACTTACTGTGTACATACAAGTGTTCAGAGGCAACTAATATAAAGCAGGACTCAAACTCTTAATACAGATTTGTGCACTAAAATTTGGTGTGGAAAACGGGCCTGCACAAACCTGGACTTGAAACCCTATTGAACACATCTGGGGTGAACTGACAGCAGGCCATTAACCA